GGTTGTCGGGGAGGAAGAAAGGACGCCCACACGCCGGCCAATGGGGTTGGCGGGCGCAGGAGCTGCCGCCCCTCCTGCAGCCCGTTCCCTGCGGGATGGAGCCAAGGCAGAGGATGGAGAAGGTGGGGATACTCGGGGGACCGTGGTGCTGCACCCCACAGACCAGCCGGCATCCACAGGGCTGTAAAGCTCTCCTGCCTGCAGCCCTGCCAGACCTGGGTGCTGCATTGCAATTCCCAGGGGAAAATTGGCTGGAGCAGAGATCTGCAGCGGTGCGACTCCAAAACTGCTGACCTCCTGCACGGCCGGGCTGGCGGGGAACCCCTCCTGGCCCCGTCCAGCCCTCCCTGTGCCCTGCTGGGGCTGAGGGCAGGCAGCAAGCTGCCCGGCTGCACCGGGCAGGGATGAGGAGCGGAGACTTGGATGCGCAAGAGGAAAGCGGGAAGGGAAACGGCATCCCCAGTGCCGTGCAGCAGTACTCGGTTGATTCCAGACCTGGGCTAACAGAAACCATCATTGCAGTGGGGTTTGGGTATTTCCTCCCCCCACCCCTGCCTCCTTTTTTGCCCCTATTTTTATAGTAGGCCAACACAGAAAAATTATGTAGGGATTTGTAACGCAATCACTGACTCACAGGAGCCATCCAAACCACTTCCACCCTGCAGAGTACGTCCAGGTGGCGTTCAGGCCTGGAGGAACGCGTGCTCTAACCCACTGGCTTTGTGAAATACTTTTCAAGGTGTGATAGTTTTTAGGCAGCAAACAATGTGCTGCTAGGCATCGATTGCTTCTTTCTTTTTTTCCCCCCTCAAGACAGAAAACTGGAAAACACTTGGCTGAAACTTCCCTTTATGTTGCCTTTTCTTTGGAACAAGGGCCAGGGAGCAGCTGGGTCTCTTAAGCCTCTTCAGCCTTCAGTTTGTGCAAAATCAGTACTGTATTTTGGTTTTTTTTTAAGTCTGAGGAATGTGCAAAGCTTTTATTTGCAGGTGGTGGGGAGGTGCATTACAAACCAGTAAAGTAGTTTTGGTTTTTTTTGGGGGGGAAAACATAGGGCTTGATGGTAGTTCCGTAAATATCTGTGAAAATCCCTCCGGCGGGTCTGGGCTTGGGCAGGTCACTCCGCGTGGGAGCCGCACATCTCCGTTTTCGTCTTTACCTCAATGTGCAGAGTGTGCGTGACTGTCTCGGTGTTGCTGAGTTTACACCCGTTCTGCGTACTTCAGGTGAAAACACAGAGGAGCAGAGGGGTTGGTCCCGTAATCCTTTACCGTATGTTGTTATTTTAAAGTGTTGATTATAAATTTTATAGCTCCCAACACTGGAATAGAGTTGACTTTGGGATCTTTCACGTGTGGACTGTGAACTGCATCTGTTACCACTGAAGCCTGGATTGTGGCTGTTTCTTCCCTTGCTAGAAACTAGATGAAGGTTTTCTTTTTTCCTTTTATTAAGTTATAGTGTTAGAATTTACTCTCCCCCATAGGAGGGGAAGAATTAATCCTGCTGCACGAGTTGCCTCGGTACTATTGCCTCAAAGTTACTCAGTTTAAATGTAGTGGTACAGTTTGTAGATGTTACCTGGGTGTTCCTCTGGAAGTTTATTTATATTGGGAGCAGAGATGCACCCGGGTGCGTGCGGGGAGGGTTCCCGAACTAGCAGTGAGTCCGCTCATGTTGACAGCAGCGGCATGCAGCTCAAAGGCTGGGAGAATGCAAGTTGTTCTTTGATACCACGGCAAGAACAGACACCCAGGAGTGTCTGTAGGAGCTGAGGTCTCAGCGTGTTCCGAGTGGAGAGTCCTTTGACGGCTGTCAGCAGTGTGCACGTTGGTAACCAGAGAAGAGACAAAATGTAGACCCCCCCCAGCTGTTTAACCTACAGCTAATTTAGCTTTATTTATTTGTGCACTTCTGGCCTGACCTGCATGTTGTCAACAGAAACAGAATATGTTTCTTTTGCACTGATGTACAGAGTTCTGGTCTCAGCACTGCAGCATACTGGACTGACTTTGCATTAGCATCTTGCTGTGATAAAAATTTTATGGTTTAGCGTAACACTGTGTGTTATAAATCTATGCATGGAAAAGGGCATTCACTGAAACTACCAACTTGCTTGTAAAATGAATAGGGTGGGGAGGGGGATGCAGTGGGAGATTCTTGCCTTATGAACACTGTGATTTCACTAACTGATCAACAACACCTGAAAAATGTAAAGCTTTTAATTAAAAAACATTTTAAACCCCATCTTTTACAGCATTGGCTTACTTTTAAGAAAGAGTGGAGGAGGCTTTGAGAAGGACACAGGCAAGTACTGCCAAAGAAGCCATCACAAGAGGCAGCTCAAGGTCTGACAGCTTTGCTTTTTGACCGCCCTAAGTGAAGGTCAGCAGTAACTGGGGGAGGGTTATCTCTGACGAGGGTCCGGGCAAGGTTTCAATCTGGGCTAGATGCAGTAACCACCTCCATCTGTTTGTATTTACTCTGAAGAAACAAAGCCCTGTGGCAGCTTTGTTTTCAGTTTTCATCTACTCTACTTTCCGCACAGTCCTTCTTCCTCACATAGCAGTAACTGGAAAAAGGAGAAATACTGCAGTGATTCAATAATGCGATTCTTAAGTTCATGTTCACTTGCAGCTACAGCAGTCACAAGGAGAGATTCCACATCTGTCAGTGTCCCTTCCCCTCGAGTTCAGGTACAGCTGCAAATCCACTACTGCCTTCCTCTCCCCATAAACATTGTCACTCCAGAAAAAAACTGATATTCAGATTAAATAGACCAAAATAGAGTTCATTCAGTTGTTTTTCTGTGAATAGTTCTGAAAATACCCGTATGTAAAAATACAGATAGCAAGACAAGCACACATCATCTCCAGTAACAAAAGACCAAATCTGTTTCACATCCGTCTTCTGGCAAGGCATCGTAATACGCTGCATTAAACCAGATGTGTTTTGACTAACCTCTTGGATTGTTCTGGTAAACTACTTGTTGTAATGATTACATCTCACAGCCGCCTTCTATTAACTTTTGCAAAGTAACACCTCTCAGAGGCACCAAGGACTTTGTCCTTTGTTGGAAAAAAAAGTTGGCAATAAATTCTTACTTGAAACACTGTAAAAAATTGTTTTCTCTGAATTTATGGATATTATCCATCAGTAAGTGGCTGTTGAGGATGGGGTAGATGTGACAATTCTGTGATGCTCTCTACTGTGTATTTAGGGAGAGAGATGCAATGCCCACAGTTATAGATAATTGTTATAATTAAAAGGAAAAAAAAAATCACTCTAGCTTGTTCTTCTTAAACATTCATTCAATTCACATTTCAGCAGGCAATAAAACAGCCCTCCAGCTGATGCTTCTCACGTGATCCCAGGCTGCTGGTACCCACCCCCTCTGACAGGGCGAAGATACTGCATCTGGACCTCAAGGGCAGCCAGTCAGGGGCAGTGAAATGGAAAAACAGCACCCAAGGTCTAATTAGACCATTTATAACCAAATGAGGATGTCCCGATAGAGACAGCCATAAAACTTAGCGCTGTGAAATACAGCAAGGGCTGGACGAGTAATACTGTCATGTAGCATAAAGCTCATCTCAGTGAGGCTACGGTCTACTGCAAGGCAAATCCTTCAGTACCTTAAATTCATCAGTTCTGGTCGGAACTGGGTTGTAAAGGGAGCGCAGATTTAGTCCTTGAAGACTGTGTAGAGGCTAGGATGCATTACTGCTTCTTTTGACGTGTGTTT